ACAGAATATGCTATAGCCCACCCACCACCAAAGAAAATTATGCAACAGACTTACTAGGATTTAGTAGAGGAGAATTTAAGTACCTTATGCCACTTCATCTTCGGCGTTTCTTCAATATCTGCCATGTTGGCATCAGGATCTTTCAAAAGACTGTGACATAACTCCTTGCGGTACATGCTAATGAAAGGAATCTGAGAAACAACAGCAATTACTGATCAATATCCTTATAAAACCTTAATAAACATAATTGAATACATCAAAGAAGTCCCTACATCAAGCTTCTGCACATGCATCATTGTCAAGACATTTCCAATTTCCTCCTTATTTATCTCTTTGACTATTTGATCATAACCAACTAGAGGAGAAATACCACCACTAGAAAGTTGGCTGTATATCCACGTACTCTCGTCTTCTATGCTTTTATCATCGGTCGGAGGTGGCCCAGTTTTGTCCTCAGACACCTGCAAGGGAAAAGAATATACCAACACCAAGAGATATTTCGTAATTTACAAGTCCACCTACCATATGCTACATCTTAAATTTTATAAACAGATGATGAATTGTGTTATTACCTGAATTCTCTCAGGCACATCTGTTTCTCGGATAATGTCATCCTTTGGGGTCATATACTTCTCTGAGAGAATAAAAGGTTCAAACTCATCCTCCAGTCTCTTCTCACTCCAACTGCCATCAGCAGAAACAGCTGCAAGGCCTTGCTTCCGTAGCATTAGAAGCTCATCAACATCACCAAATATTTCATGGGCTTCTTGTAAAGCAGATGATGAAACTCCTGGGGCTTGGCGTGACATCTTTTTCTTGGGCTTTTTCTTTCTATAAGAAGTCATTCAATGGTCAAAATAGTTAAGAGAACAGTAAACGTGGCAACGGAGCATATTGAAAAGTTTGAGGAGAGGTAACTCTTCAGACCTTACAACAGCACCAGTCTCATCAACATCTTCTTCATCCACGATAAAATCTGCCATTTCATCTTCCTCCCCAATAATGTCCGCTTCTTCTTCTTCTTCGGGCTGCTCTTCTTCCTCAGCGATATCCTCTAATGGCACCACTGTATGATGAAAGAGAAGGATAGTTAATTTCCACAAACTAATCATCTCTTCAATTACACGAGTTGATTACCTTCGTCATCTCCAAACAAGCTACGCTTAAGTTTTTCTTCAGCTGTTCGGCCACCACGACTGTCCCTATCAAATTCTTCATCATCTGAAAACCCAGACCGCTCCACTTCATTGTCCCTTCCAGCCTTCTTCAATCGCTTAAATTTGCTACTCTACATGCGATTACCCAATAACAACTCAAACAAGTCATAGCCATGTTTGAGGAGGAAACACACAAAAATCCCCAAGGGTCTTAACAGTGAGAAGCAAGGTCAGGAGACATACTGGTTGAGGTCGACGGAATCCGGTTATGTTGTTGTCTTGAAGTAACTCATAATCATCCTCATCAAGAACGTAATTTTTCTCTGAATCCCTGAAGTGCAGATCATACAGCTATAAATATGAAGAGGATTTCACCTATTAAAAAAAGCCACAAGGGAAGTCAAGATGCATTACCTTCTCTTCTTCTTCCTTTTTCTATGTCTCTCCTCGTCACTCTCCTGTTTTTCCTCCTCCTCTTCTTCCTCTGCTTCCTCCTCTTCCACATCGTCCACTATAAATCCATCTTGCTCGTACTCATCCTGCCCCTCTTCTGCTGACAGAAAAAACAACTTATTACACGCTAAAAAGACTGTTACCCCAATCACCCAAAAAACTAGGGCCTCTGACCACCACAGGAGGAAAAGATCAGTCGAAATCCCAACTGTACCTTCTTCTTCCTCCTCATCATCGTTGCCCCCATCACCAACGTCATCAGCGTCCTGCTCCATGGCTCGTTCTTCCTCATCCTCTTCGACCTCATCTGCACGCAACGAAAAAAAAACTCAAAGATGAGGAACTAAGAAAGTCACTTGATTAAGACACACGAAATCACATCGAACGAGATGCAATTTTGGACCTTCCTCATCGGAGACCACCGCTCGTCCGCCCATCTCGTGTTGGAACCGGAGAAAAAGGTTAGGCTTCGAGATGCAGCCTGGAAGTTTTCGACAAGGACACTGTTCTCTGCAAGATTTCGCGATCGCAAGGGAACGGATTAGGGTTTCCCGATCCCATCGCAAACGGCGAATAGAACGAGAGAGCAGAAGAGTGATAGAAGAAAGATTAGATGATCGTACCTTAGATCTCGAAGTAGTGAACCGCTAGGGTTTCGGAAGAGGGAGAAGGAAGAAACCCTGACCTCGGAGCTCCACGGTGAGTACGTCGATCGATAGGGAGCGGGAGAGGGAGGGGGAGAGGGGTGAGGAATAATGAGATGAAATTAATACTTAAAAACAGATGGAGGGGCATTTTTTCTAGAAAATACCTCTTCCCAATTGGTACCTTCTTTTTTTTATTTTTTTTATTTTTTAATTTAAAAAATAAATTAATTATCTCTTAATTAATTATATTATTATTATTATTATTATTATTTGATTTGTTTACCGTATTTTTATTATGGTGATCATCACATTATGATCAATTAATTTTTTTATTTAAGTGATGTTATTTTTAAACTATCATAAATATTTATTTTATTTCGTAATATGATATATCATCAATTTTTATTATATTTTAATTGTATTTAATTTATTTATAATGTTTATTATAAGTAGTTTTTAAAGTATCTTTTATTATGATTATCAAAATATTATGTCATGTCAAAAATAGATCGAAACTTATGAGGGATAATTTGAATATTTTATAAATTAAGGATACTATATTAAAAAAAAAGAAAATATTATTTGAGAAAATAAATATTCTCTAGAAAAACCATCCAACCCTCGTACCGAAGCCAAGGATTACTCTATACCCTATCAATTATAGGGTTTGAACGTGAATCTATTTAAATTTGATTTAGAAGTAGCTAAAATCAATGAAATCATAATTTATGTCAGAGTTCTCCTCAAAATTAAAAGATTAAGATAGTTGAGGGGATATAAAATGAAATAAATTTTTTATATATGAATAAATATTAGCAGGCTATAACACACAGCGGAATTAAATGAAATCACAATCAAATATAACACCGAGATATACGTGGAAAACCCCTCCAATGTAAAGGATAAAAATTACGAAGCAAACTAGAGATAATACACTATAAGAATAATAAATATACAAATCTCAATCTCTTGCCCAAAACCCTAACAACAATCACAAGAGAATAACTATGATACAAGGATCACATCACTATATACAATATCTAAATCCTCCCTAATTCTCCCCAAGTAATCATAGTAATAATCTACTATAGATATGATCTAATCTGAGATGAAAGCATTACTACATAATTGAGAACACTCTCTCTGTGTTGTCATTGTCTTCTTCCCTTTCTTTCTCTTCATTTTCTGTCTTGTTCTCCTCATTTTCTTTAGAATCCCGTAGCTGCAATAAACTACCACGTTGTTGCCTTTTTCTACCTCTTTTTATAGCCACCACACCCCCTAATATAATATAAATTAAGATTGAGTTAAGAAGGGGTGAGTTGGCCCACCTTGGGCTGAATATGGGTTGTCGGCCCAACAATAAGTCGGGTATTGTAAAATAAACGGAGAAACATTTCAAATTTGACTTTAGAAAAATCATAACATCACCTAAGAAAACAATCCTAATGGAGTTCTTTAAGTTCTAAACCTTCCTATTTATACAATTTTATTTTATCATTAAAGGCATTTATTTATGCCCTTCATTTTTATTTTTTCTTTTACCATTTGTCATTTTTACCGTAACACCATTTGTATTTAGTCTATTTTTTTTAGTAGATATTTTTTAAAAATTAGAAGAAATTTCTATTACATCAAATAACATATCATATTTGGACTTGAACTTAGGTCCTATGTAACAACAACTTTAATGAACACATATAATGATAGATTTGTGTATTTTTAATTCATAAAGTCTAAATCGAAGCTGATTTAAATTATCATGCATGGGGTTAAACATTATACGATGTAAAATATTAAAATGATTAAAGAACATATCAATATTTTTTATATACATTCATCTTTTGTTTAATCGATCTTTATGATAATTTATGGCAAAAGGTCTCTATTTACTACAAAGAGTTAAAGCGGGACAAAAGATCCCCAACTACAAATAATCTCACCTACTCTCACTTAGGTCAACAAATAACAACACAAAGAACAAGTAACGACTTGCAACTCGTAACACACAACAGTACTCGTTGCTTATTCATTACGCGTTAATTAAGGTTATAAGAGTTCCGAGAAATGTTAAAAAGTTTCAAAAGCAAGTGTTTTTTAATAGGCAAAAATTCATTTCAACAGTTTTTCGACCTGCAATTATTATTATTATTATTATTATTATTATTATTATTATTATTATTATTATTATTATTATTATTTTTCATATATCATTGATGATTTTTCCTCAAAAAAAGTCATAAATTCTTTTACATCGTTATTAACTTATAATTTGATTTTAATTAATTATATATTAATTTGTTAAATTTTATGATCTTTTATGATTAGATAAGATATATAATGTAACTAATTGGATATTGATAAAACATATTGATCAATAGAAAAGAAGTTTATATAGACTCTCAATAGATGATTCAATTGAAATATTATAATATCTCTTTTAGATTGATAACGATCTTAGATCTAAAGACGATATTTTTATAAATCACACAAAGATCTTTTTTTAGATGATATGAAAAGATACGCATTGTAAAATCAGATTTAATTTTATTTGATTTCGACATAAAAAATTATTTTCATATTTAATATAACATATTACATATTTTATACTAATATATCTTTGATTAGCTTTACTATCAAGCTACTTAAAACTGGGTTACACGTTAGATTTTTTGTTATGTGAGTTCATGCTAGTTAGGACAATCAATTCAAAACTTCTAATATATCCATATTGAACACCATCATAAACTATTACAACATAAATTAATTTATTTTTTTAAATCATGACAATTGATTCAAATTAGAATATATATATATATATATATATATATAGACACACACTCTCTTTTGCCCCTCCGTCAAGCTATTACCGGAGAGTCTCGGCCTTGTCTTCTCAGGCAAAAATCCTTGCTTTTGTTGCTGTAATTGTTGTCGTTGCTGCTTTCTCGCTGTTGGTCTTGCAACTTCCCCTTTGGTAGATAAGGTGTGAGCCTCGTCATGTCCGAGAGTTTTATTGGTTTGAGGAAGAACTCCTCTGCTCCTCCCTCCAAGCATCTGTTTGGTAGGGGCACATCGAAACACTTCCACTTTATGGATTGCATCAACTCCAGAATATTAAGCAAGTCTAGCAATTACAAGGAGAGGAAGATAGAAAGATTCTGAGCTTTCCCTTCGTCGAGTTCCGACATCTAATGGGAAGGATATGCAGTTTTCTTGATTCCGACATGTAATGGTCAATATCCGCACTTGAATCTTCCTAGTCATTTTTATGGTGATATATCTCATGCAAGAACTTGATAGAATAGAATCCACGTAGTAAACGAGCAGTCGATTCATGTTTTTTACCTGGTGGTCCGGGATGGCACATTCTCAGAGGACATGATCACAACTGGAATGTTCTTCAAGGATGATGATCCCTGACACCAATGCAAACTCATAAAAACATTGAAACATAGTTAGGAAGAGAGAGATCGAACAGCCATCATTATCACCTTAATCTTCTTGAGCAGATCATACCCTGTCATCCCAGGCATACAATAATCTGTCATGACCAAGTTCACCTCAATCTTCTACAACCAAAACCACCATCTAAATCTCATCAGGATAAGGAAATCCATGCCGCAAACAATCAAGGGATCATCTAGATCTCACGTTCTTATCTGCTGGGACAGGTGATGTGCTTTCCTCATCCTCTCTCAGACCCAACATTTGCAGAGCCTTGCTCCCGGAATCCACCGTGGTAACTGAAGCACCAACACATGCCTTTAGATCCCCCCCCTCTCGCTCCACTCTATCAAGGAGTGTCGTCGTTACCTTGGCAGGATGATGAGGACTTGAGGAGCCTCTCGATGAGCTTCCTGTCAATGAGGCTGTCATCCACAGCAAGTACATGAAACTGTGCCTCCTCCGCAGCGACAGCCATTGTTGTCTTCCTTTCTTCCGACGACACCGCCACGCTCTTAGCGAGCGATGAAGATGACAGGAACCGGGTGTAGAATAAGCCGAAGTTGGCGTCTTGTTTGGTCGAGAGGGTCTCTTCTCTTCTCTTCTCTTCACCTTCCCACGTCTTCCGGCATCCAGCAGTGAAACACCACCTTCCAACCCACCAAAATCTCACCTCTCGGAAAGCGAAGATCCGAAGGCTTTTACTCTATCATTGAATTGGATCCCAAGCAAAGCCACCACCCATCCATCTCTCGCTCTTCCTCTCTCCCTCGCTCTGTGAAACGCCAACGCATTCGTCTTTATCCAATTACCTCAAGATGAGTGCAGGTGATAAAAGCATTTGGATGACAATATTCCATGCCATCCCATCTGCTCTCGGCTGTCTCCATCGTTTATGCTCGTATAAAAATAGAGACCGAATCAGAGACGCCACCAACTGTATCTTCATGCATATATGTTATTATTGTTCTATGAATGATGAGATGGTGGCATAGGACAAGGCATCCAATGTAGCATGCATGCGCCTCTGACAACTGCACACTTCATAGGCTGTCTACATCGATCCCAGAACCTAATGCAGATATTGCTGCTTCCTATCAGTGGTTTCTTATTATAATTAAGTAATATATATATATATATATAATATCTTTAGGATATATTTTTGAAAAAAAAATCTAGTTTTGATAAATAATCGTAGGGCACTCCCTTAAAAAAAAAATCTTTGCAAAGCGTTTTTTTCGTAAAAAAATGATTTTGCCCTTAGGTTTTTTACTCGTGGCATAATCCAAAGATCTCGGACCCACCATTAACTATCTTTATGCATCGACCCCTAAATAGTGGGGGTAACCTTCGTCACCTCTTATAAAGTCAAAGGTCTCAACTAAAAAAGGCAAAGGCCTCGGACCCATTCGATATCAACCATCATGTCCTCTCTTTCGTCGTCTTTGTCATCGTCTGAGGGCTCAAGCTCAAGATGACTAATGATAGAGGCATAGGAGACTAATGACCTAAATACAATCGACCTATGCAAAGATGCAAGCGATTAGGATGAAGGTGGCCATCGACGAAAGTGCAAGCGACCATGGGTGAAGATGCAAGGGTAAAATATTTTTTTATATAAAAAAATGTGTTGTACAAAAAAATTCGAAAATGAGAATGTTCTACCAAAAATTTCTTAAAACCAAGGACATTTTCTAAAAATTAAAATAAAATTTTATATACATAAAAAAGTAAAACTATACATTCAGAGGAATCTATATGATATGCATAAGATATGTAATATCTTAATATTTTATTCGAGGATGAGCTAATATTAGTAAAAAGAAATGTGAATAAAAACTAGTTAGGTGTGTCAGGATTAATTTTTGTTTATGCCAATGCTGACTTTTTTTTTTTTGGGACGTAAAGTGGATGAAAAGACAACATTGAAACTGTAGAGATTATAACTAAATGAATCATGTTTGATTTACATAATAAGTGTAAACTATAGGAATTATAGCTAAACTGTAGGATTAAAGCTTCCCTCACGGAAATATATAACGAGTACAAGTTTTGAATTATAGGACCACTTGTTTTAAATTTTTTGATCACCATTATTACTACATCTACAAGCTTAAACCTTTAAAGGATACATCATCTACATGCGAGTTCCTAACTGCATGCATTTGTTTGTTGACCTTTCAAGAGGTAAAACTTTGTTGCGTCTTCTTTTTACTGCGAAGGCTGAATAAATTGCAACATGTACATATTGGGCTCAGTTTAATGAATTAAACACACCTCTCTTAATTGTCAAGTATCTTAGAAGACCACATCTCATAGAACATTGTCGCAGAAGAGGATATAAATCCACTACACATTCAACCATCCAATAAAACAAACACATGGCATTTCAACTACACCATCGAGCTACATCTTAATTGGCACGATTCCTCTCGAGCGACCCACTGATTCCATCCGAAAGAAGATGGAACGGAATCAGAAGAAGCCCTCCGTCGTTGCCGAATTACGAGTGGCGGAATTCATGAACAGCAATGAGGGCACCGTAACAATCCATTCTCGTTGCACGCGTCGCAACGTCGCACGCTGCCTTCCTCCTGGACGAACACCTTCCGGCTACCATGGCAGGTTGAGCACAGCACGAAACGCACACCGCCACAGCCGCCGCAGACGAAAGCAGGGTCCTGAGCCACGACCCCCTCGAGCATTCTCCCGAGCTCACCGGCGTCATGCCACTGCCGGACCTCGTCGGCCCCTCCGAGCCACCTGTTCCCGATGAACACCTGGGGCAGCGAGAACGGCGGGCCCTTTCCGAGCAAGCGCTGCAGCTCGCAGCGGTACGAGACGTCCATGGAGACGTCGCGCTCGTCCACGGCGACGTGGAAGCCGCGCAGGATAGCGCGGACGGCGCAGCAGTCCGCGAAGGTGCGCCGGACGCCGCGGAGTGAGGTAGAATAGAGGATTACCTTGGGGCGCTTCGGCTCATCGGCGAAGCGCTTATAGGAGGTCTTTGAGGCGGGGTGGCGGTGGTGGTAGCTGAACGAGCGGAGGAAGGAGGAAGGCTTCTTGAAAAGGGAGGCAGCAGAGGAGGAAGACGAGGACGGCGACGAGGACGACGGCGGCGAGAAGTCGTCGGCGAGGTTGGCCATGAGGGCTGCGGCGTCAACGGACGGTGATCAGGGGTGGGTTCCTATGGAGTCGACGTGTCTGCATCCCACTGCTGTACGACCGGCGGTCGGCTCGCCGGACCCATTTCATCCGGCATCTCGACCATTCACCTCCCTCAACAAATAAATAATAATAATAAAAACATTTGACCAAATCAAAAGCAGAAATTAGAATGCCAGTTGGTGAATAGGTAAAACCGAATCAAATAGGATAAATCTATATTTTGATCATCTTGAAGCAAACACTTGGTGCCGTTCCATAAGTAAATATATGAGAGAATCCTACCAAAAAGAACATGCAGTTATTGTGAACGACCAAAAGAAATGCGATAAGGAACAAAAACATCAAGAGTACGAAACCAGGGGCTTCATGTAAGCCGCATCTCCCGCAAAGCTCACAGGGCGCATCCAAGGAGGGTGGTAAGCATCGATTGCAATCTCCTGGTTGGCTTGGAGCTCACCTTCCCCTTCATCACAATCATCATTCTCCTTCGCAACCTGAGAATGCAGACCACATGTCAGGATAACCATCACCCGAAGCTGCTTTAGTGCAACCAGAAAGTAGTTGCGTTGGAACACCCATATAATATGGTAAGGTACATGCACAAGTACCATAAGATTGCATGCACACAAACCAAACAGTGTAGTAAATCGGATTATATTCGTGTCATATTCTGTCAAATATTTCCAATGGAGATAAATCATTTTCCGTTTATGTTAGAAGATAAATTAAATTGTCCTGAAGACAAATCGCATATTGATCAAGCAGAAACGAATAAGGAGCCAGTTCACATGGATCATAGCAGTTTTTATCAGCAAATGAAAACTCAGGTGAGAATGCTCATTAATTGGTATAAGATGATTGCTTAAATGGAGAGAGAAAGACAGTATGCAGCAGACGGCCGAGTAGATTTGTGAAATTTAGCTTCTCAAAGAAAACAAGCCAAGTTTCCTACAGGGACTTGTGATAGGAATGAAGAATGGTCTCATAAGAACATAAGGGGAAGAAGAACTATATTGAAACATGGATAATAAATTTTATGCTAGAAACAAGTTGATGCTACCAAGATCTTGAACTAATATTACTTTCATGTTCACATCAACATCACCTAGTTCAGAAGAACAGGGTACAACAAAGTAATTACTGATTGATCGGCCAAAATTTTGGGAAAAGAAAAGAAACATCTTAACAATAAAGAAAAACCTTGGCAATTAGCCACCTTGTCTTGGAGGGGACGTTTTCATCAATTTCAAAGTGAATCGAAAAAGTAATGAAATGCACAAACATAATAAAAAACAAGGAGATGATGCACCAGAAATCATCTAACAGTATTGCCAGGAAAAATAAACAGAGCATCTGATTGCTGGACAAGCCATAGTACTTCACCTGGAGTGGTGCTAGAATATGAGCCACACCAATCTAAATATCATTGGTCTCCCAGAAAAGGGGATGAATGATGAATAACTTGACAAGTTTGCAACTTACAATAAATAAGACACCCATAGTGGATAAAGAGCACGATTGGCATCAAACTTACTGGAATATAACCACCAATGATTATTGCTCAAGTTAGTTAAACAGGAAGATGACATCACGATAACCATTAATGTAAAATACCTTGATCGGGCAATGACAAAATGTCGGCACAAATCGAATTTTGCAATACTCATTGAACAATATAGTCATGAGTAGGAGTAAAATGGTGGAAACTGAAGCTCCCGGCTTAGACTTCAAACCAAAGATACCAATCATGGTAATTTGCATGAGAATAATGGTGATGAACAGATAGTGATGAATGTGTGGCCAGTACTGTCCACATGTATCATAAGTGATATCATACACATCTTGCATCTGCAAGGGGAGTATCCAAAATTAAATATACAGATTACTGATACCAATGAATTAGACAAATGTAACCCCAACAAACCATACAAAAAGTGATGAGACCACAACCATAAATTACCACTAAATCCATGATAGTCAATAAGCAATTGATTATTATTAGTAACTCATTACAATTAGATGATGTAATACATCTCTGTCTCAGGAGTTTGTTTAATAATACTCGTTGATATGTACTTCTCCATGATACTTGTGGTAGTTATGAGGAGAATAGAACAGTAATGTCATATAGTGCCACCCAAGTAGACAACAATGGGACTATTATCACAGAAAGATCTTTACCTTGCATGTAGTAGTGTAAACTAACTGGTATTTACTATTCATAAAATCATGTACCCTTATTAACTATTCTACCCACTGGCACAATTATAAATTCTTTGTGATGACCCAGCAATTTCCCAATTAGGCTATGGAAATCTTGCATATCGGTATAAACTACCCAGAGCATCCAGGATGCAAGAGTCAAACCCTATAGCACCTCCTCAGCAAGTTGAGCATGCTTGGACATCTTCATGGATGTCTATTATAACTCATGCAGAAATTAGACCCACTTTGGTCAACGTTTGACAAGTTAATGAGATCATTCCTAGTTGTAGTAGTTCAGGTTAATCCATTTCTCATATTAGTCCTAATCCATTCAATCTCACCATAAAGGAAGAGACAAGGATTTAAACCCCTTTTGTAATGCAGATAGACAGCATTCAATGGTGAGAGCCGACCAGCTGTCAACCCCTTGGTTATGGCCGAACACCCACGAATGCCAGGAGAAGTTGGCAAGGTCAATAAGCCATCACCTGAGGGAATATTTTCGAAATAGTGTGAATACTTAAATAGGTTACAGAAGTCCCCACTCCTGGCAGTCTAGATATCATGGATGTAGCTCCTAAAGCAAGTCTCAACTATATTATGACTTCTAAAGCAAGTCTAGTGTGAATACTTAAATAGGTTATGGATGTAGCTCCTAAAGCAAGTCTAGAAGATCTTACCACCAAAAGGGGCCTCAGATCGTGGTTAGGACTTCTAAATTATGCAAGAAGTTACATTCCTAATTTGGGCAGACTCTTAGGCCCACTATATTCAAAAACAAGCCCAACTGGGGAAAAAAGGTTGAATGAGCAAGACTGGAAACTGGTCAAAGAAATCAAAAGACTAGTACAGAATCTCCCAGACCTGGAAGTACCTCCAGAAGACTGCTTCATAATACTGGAAACTGATGGATGCATGGAAGGGTGGGGAGGTATTTGCAAATGGAAGAAACAAAAACATGACCCAAAGAGCACTGAAAAAATATGCGCCTACGCTAGTGGAAAGTTCAACCCAATCAAATCCACCATAGACGCTGAAATGCATGCAGTCATGAAAACCCTGGAAGCATTAAAAATATATTTCCTGGACAAAAGGGAAATAATCATCAGGACAGATTGCCAGGGAATTATAAGCTTCTTCGACAAATCTACCTAGAATAAACCATCCAGGG